TCCCAGTGGAAACAGGTCTTTAGAGATGAGAAGGCAGCTAGGTGAAATAACACTTGAATTTTTCTTCCCATGAAATTTTTATGTGCTATGTCTGTCTTAAACTGTTAAAGATAATGGCATGGCTTGATGTATTTGGGGGCCACACTAAGGATAGACCCCTGTCTCCCCCCTCCCATGGACATAGGAAATTTTTTCCTCAGGTGCTAAGGTGGTTTGGTAAAGATGTATGAGGAGAGAAAAAGTAGAAGAACAGGTTTGTAAGTTGTGGAGCAGAGTTCTTCCATGCCAGAATAAATCAATCAAAGTGAGTCTTCAGTGTTTGTTGTGCTAGCTTTAAGTTTGTTGCCCCATCCTTTAAGAAGAATGTGAAGGTCCTTGGATGTGTCCAGAGGAGGACAACAAAATGGTGAAAGGGCTGGAAGGAAAGTCCTGAGAGGAACTGCTAAGGACTTCAGGCTTGTCAGTTTGGGTTAAGAGGGGCAACCTCATTGCTCTCTACAGCTTTCTGAGGAGGGGAAGTGGAGGTCCTGAGCTCTTGCCCCTGGTATCCAGTGACAGGACACATGGAAGGGTTCAAAGCTGTACTGGGGAGGGGTTACACTGAACATTAGAAAACATTTCTATACTGGAAGCGTGACCAAACATTGAAATAGGCTTCCTGCAGAGGTGGTTGATGCCCCAAGTCTGTCGGTGGGGCATTTGGACAACATGCTTTAGCTTTTGTTCTATTAGATGATAGTTGTAAATGCTTTCCAACTGAAATAGTCTATTGTATCTTTTGTCCTGACTCAGACATCTTCAGTGGCAACATGGGGAGCTATTACAGAGGTGATAATTGCAATGCATGGAATATAGCTTGCTATTTCTAAGCTGCCCTGAATCCTGCTCTTTCCTGCATGTAGAAAGCTTGTTCTGCTATAGGTCAGTCTGAGATGATGCACAAGAGGTTCATGAGTCCCAGGATGTAATTTGAGTTTGTAATCAGACTTTTTGCTGCTATAAAGCTTATAGGTGAAGGCCTCGTAGGGACCCTTATCAAATGATTAAGATCTCTCCAAGCAGTAAAAATGTTCCAAGTTCCAGTTGTTAAGCAGGAATGTTATTGGCACACAAATGGCTTTATTTTGAACAAAGGTAGTCTAGCCTCCTTAGTCAGCCTCAAACAGAGTTTTTAATTCTAAACAAAAGAAACTTTTAAAAAGTAGGTTATTTAGTTTGGGATTTATAAATGTTTAAATTAAGATCTAATTGTTAATTATAGAGCTTCATGAGATACTTATCAGTTCTTGTTGGGGACTAGCCAATATATTAACTGAAATGGCTGATGGTGCTGTTAGATTAATTTTGAGATAATGCATGTATACACAAAAAATTTTAAAAGTGCTTCCTGTTCTTCAGTTTCCAACAAAAATAAGTGGTGAACTGTACCCTCATAGCAAATACCTGGTTTTATCCCTAAAAATTGTCATGTAAAAAAGACAATTTTTACACTTTATGGAAACATGACGTATTACCAGTTACAAGTCTTTCCTGACTAACATACACACCTCCTTTGGAGTAACTCCCTTTTAGACTTACTGCTAGTGATGCACAAAAAGAGGTAGCACATTCTACTGTTTTTCAGAACTGAACTACAGCAGGGGGGACATTTATGTTTATTTTAGATTCATACACTCAGACAACAACAAAGAAGACAAAGATCAGTTTTCAAAATCTGGACAAAATTACTGAAGCTGTGGGAAATCACACTGTTCACATTCTCTGTAATAGCTTCCAGATGATTTTTTTTATTTTAATAAATAACTTTAAAAATCTTCCCAAATTTTCAGGTAAATAATAAAAATTGATGGAAAGTTGGTAGTCAGGGAGACTTGTAAATAGGGAATCAGAGAGTTGGCTATGTCAAAAATAAAATTTTAAACTAGCAATAATAACCTACAGATTTTGATAATCATAATTTAAAAACAAACAGCAGAAGCATCTTTAGTTTATGTTCAGTATGTCATAGCCTGGTGGTCATTTAACTTGTAGAATTAAAGGAAGTCTCTGTGTACTATATTAGTTCTTTTTTGACATGATCATTTGAAATTCACTGGAGGAATAGTAAGGCTATATTTGGACATACACACTTAAGCAGTTTGGATTTGAAAGACAATCCTGTGATAACTTGGTCTGAGCAGAGCAAAAATTGTTGGAAAAGTAGGAAAAAGGATCTTTTCATTACTGAAGCCTGTGTGTTGGCAACAGGGAGGCTTCCAAGTTGGCCTGTGTGGTTCAATGACAAGTTAAGCTTTGTTATTGCTATCAGCCTATTTTTTTTACACTGAGTTATTAAATTCTTAATATGTACATTAGAAAAAAAAAAGGGCAATATTTATCTGAATATAGTAAGATTTATTTTTGTGAAATACTTCCAAACCTTTAGGAAAGGCACAGTACAGAATGTAAATATCTATTAATCTGCTTTTTCATACCAATCATCAAATGTTATTCCCAGCTCTCTAGTTGATAGTTAGTTTTATGGGTTTCCTTCCATTTTCTGTCACCTTCTGTTACAGACAATAGCTTGTCCATATTTCCTAAATAGTGTTTTATGTCTGAAGCTTTAGATGTCCACCTTCTTTCAATGCAATGAAATGCCTATGGCAGAGAGCTAAGATAGCTTGGTAGATGCTTTTAGGATCAATGTCAATAAGCTTTCCTATTGCCAATAAACATTTATTGTGACTTTGTACACAGTAGCATCACCATGTGCCTCAACAGATTGACATTGTCACAGTATTTTCTTTTGGATGGTGATTTTGTTAAAGGTTTCTAAATGTTAACCAAATGTATAAATGTATACAACAGAGAAAATGAAAATTATAGGCCAAATAGCAATAGCTTCTATTAATGTCAAAGCTAGCTTGTGAATTCCAGTGTTTGCATTCCATGGGGATCTCCCTATGTATTAGAAAACAGCATAATTAAAGATTAAAATAATCCTAATGCTTAACTACAAAGTATTTTTTTGGAAAAGGAAAGGCATAAAAAGAAAACCTGAACAAGCAGTTATAATCTCTTACTTATGACTCCCTATGGAGATCTTCAAATAAGATTATGTATTTAGTGTGCATCCTCATCTGGTGGGAGCATTATTCTCCAAGTATCAGAAAGCCAAATTATTTTATTACCAAAAACTAAACAGTGAAATAACTTACAGGCTATAGAGTTGGTTTTTTTTCCTTATTTGTAACTGTAATATTAACAGTTTAAAAATAGCTAATCCTCTAAAATCATAATATAAAAGGAGATAGGTAAAGAGTGGTCTTGAGAAAGACAAGTTAATCAACATTGTAGTTGAGACAAAGCCAGATGTTGCCTGTTTCCTAACTCTTGATGGTTTCTTTTAATATTGAGCTATTTTCAACACAAAACAGTTCTTTGCAGTAGCGGAATGTTTCTGACTATCACAGGAAAATTAAAACTAATATGGTGATATAGAAAAGTCTGTCACTTTATATGGAAGCTGACATAACAGTTTGCAAAAGTATCACTGGGCTGAAAAGTTGTTTCTTGATGATATCTTTCCTGTCATACATGTGTGCTTTTAAAGGTGAAATAGCAAGATTGAACACAATGCTGAGAGCATAGGCTTCAGCCGGACAATAAAAACATCCAAGTCATGAGCATTTACAGAAAAGGGCAAAAGCATCAACAAGGAATTTATACTCCCTCACATCTGCTGTTCCCCTGGAGGTAAAAGGTACCTCTTTAATAGATACAGCAGGATTCTAATATAAGGTGTTGTCACAATCTCATAACTTTACCGTTGGATGATCCTCCCAGTACCTTCACGGCATGCTGCTTCGTAGTGCAGCATGATTCCTGTGAAAGAAAGTAGTTCCTCTTCTACAAACCCATCTGGAGCTTCTCTCAGACAAAAGTTAGAAATCTGTCTTTATAATGGGTGGTATGTAGATTCAGTCCTTTTATATTAAAAAAAAAGGAGTAAGGAAGCAGCCAAAGAGGCTAGTATTCTACTGTGCCCCCACTAGTAAATTTTTTCTGCTTTCGGAAACCTGTAGAAGCACTCTCATGAAAATCCTGTCATGCTGGGAATATACAGGCACAGAAGGTTGCATGGGGAAAAGGGCAGAAAGAATTTGAAATGCTTTACTACCCAAGTTTAGGAGGATTCAAAACCTGTTTTCTTTGGGTATTTATTAACAGCAAAAATCAGATGTATGCATTGATACCAGCACACTTATGTAGGTATGTGGAACTGAATGATGCTCTGCAAATCTATTGCCATGAATGGCATTAAAGTTAGTGAAGAAGTATGGGCAATTTCAGAAAGATCCAGGTTGGAAACAGGGTGGCATAAGGTGAAGTCACATGTTCACAAACATTGTAGTAGCTCTGTAGGCTTTTTCTCTCAATTATTTTCATCTAAGTTCATTACTTTTAACTGGAGATCTAATTACCTATGTTCTTTATTGCCAATGAAGTATGTGTGGCTTAACTTGGAATTAAGTAACTTTAAGGTAGTTTTGCATGTTTTGAAATGGCAAAAGGCACAGTCTTTCTCAGACACATACCAAGTTGCTACAAAACACAGATTCTCAAGGTCCGCAAGAATTCTGTAACATTGTAGGATTTCTTT